CTGCTGGGCTTGTTCTGCCTCCATGGCTGCTGCAGCACCTTTGTGCCCGGGCCCCCACGTGCCGGTACCAGGGAGCCCACGGGAGAGCGGTCCCCCAGTGCGGGCACGAGCCCCCATGGGGGTCTTCTCCCCACTCTGGGAGGGGATGCGCAGCCTCGTGCCCCCCCGGGAGGAGCCTGGTGACATGAGCAGAGCAGGAAGGTGGCCGCCCTCGCGGTGACGTCCCTGACCTTGGCTCCGCAGACGACAGCGTCACCCTGAACAGCAGCAGCCACGCGGGGCCGGAGGAGTCGGGGTCCCTGGAGCTCGACCCCCCGCTGGAGCCAGAGTCCCCGGCCCCGTCTGCGGAGGAGGAAGAGGAGGAAGAGGCTGCTGATAGCTGTCCGGAGATTTCGGCCGTGCCAGAAGGGGAGAGTGAAGAGGCCGCCCCGCTGAGCACCTCGGCAGCAGGTAAAGCCCAGAGCCCCCCCCTGGGTGTCCCCCCTCCAGCCAGTGCCCCCGAGCCCAGCGTCCTGTCCCCTCTCCCGCAGGTGATGTCCCCCGCCGGCGCATTGCCACCCAGGAGGAGGTGCGCTTTCCCCTGCAGCACGGGTACGTGGCACCCTCCCTGTCCGTCCCCCCCACATTCCTCCTGCCCCACGGCTGCCCCACGGCTCCAGGGTGAACCTCCTTGTGCCCAGGTGGAGGCGGGAGGTGCGGATCAAGAAGGGGAACCATCGCTGGCAGGGCGAGACCTGGTACTACGGGCCCTGCGGGAAGAGGATGAAGCAGTTCCCGGAGGTGATCAAGGTATGGTCCCTGGGGAGAGTGGGGCGAGGGATGACCTGGGGGTCCTGGTCCGCCACAGCCCCCCCGGAGCCCCCAACTGCTGCTGTGAGCCAGTAGCTATGGGGTCCAGAGCGCTGAGCCCCCCTCATGGCCTTCCTCCTCCCAGTACCTGAGCAGGAACGTGGTGCAGGACGTCCGACGGGAGCACTTCAGCTTCAGCCCCCGCATGCCGGTGGGGGACTTCTACGAGGAGCGGGACACGCCGGAGGTGGGTCTGGGGGCAACTGAGCCACCCTGTGTCCCCCCCACCACCTCCAGCCACGCTGCGCTGCGGGAGGTGACTCGGGTTTGTGCTGCAGGGTCTGCAGTGGGTGAAGCTGAGCCCCGAGGAGATCCCCTCCCGCATCCAGGCCATCACGGGCAAGCGCGGCCGACCCCGCAACGCCGAGAAGACCAAGCCCAAGGAGCCACCGGCTGCCAAGCGTGGCCGGGGGCGGCCTCCCAAGGTCAAGATGGTCGATTTGCTGAGCAAGACGGATGCGCGGCTGCTGAAGAGGCTGGAAGCCCAAGGTACCCCCTCCCTGACCCCCCCAGCTCAGGGTGGCTGCTGCAGCCCCCCCCCCAGCCTGCCTCTGGTGGGTCCCCAATGGTCCGTCCCTCACCACCTCCCTCTCTGCTCTCCCAGAGGTCCTCAGCGACGAGGACAAGCTGAAAATGAGCAAAATCAAGAAGAAAATGAGACGGAAGGTACGAGGAGCTGCGTGGGGCTTGGGGTGGCTCTGGGGCTCCTCCGGGTCTGGGGTAGGGATGTCCCTGGTGCGGGAAGGCCACCTGAGCTGGTTTTGTCCCTTCCAGGCCAAGAACAAGCAGAAGCAGGAAGCCAAAGCCCCCAGAGCGAAGGAGGCCAAGAAGAAGTCCAAGGTGAGTCTGCAGGGTACGAGGGGGTTGGGAAGGGGACAGAAGATGGAGCCTCTCTCCCCATGCGTCCTCATGGGTCTGTCCTCAGCCCAAGGAGAAGAAAGGCAAACCAGAGAAGGGCAAGGAGAAAGCACGGCCCAAGGAGAAGAAAGGCAAAGGGCCTCGGAAGGCGGACAAGGGGCTACTGGCCCAGCGGCGCCTGGAGGAGCGGCGGCGGCAGCAGCTCATCCTGGAGGAGATGAAGAAGCCCACGGAGGACATGTGCCTGGGGGACCACCAGGTAGGCTGGGGCATGGGGGGGGCTTGGCTGGGCCAAACTGGTGAGTCGGCCCACCCTGTGCCCAATGCTTCATCGGCCTCTCTTTCCCTGCAGCCCCTGCCAGCCTTCTCCCGCATCCCGGGCCTCATCCTGCCCAGCCGAGCCTTCTCCAACTGCCTGACGGTGGTGGAGTTCCTCCAGAGCTACGGCAAGGTCCTGGGCTTCGACCCGGCCAAGGATGTGCCCAGTTTGTGCGCGCTGCAGGAGGGGCTGCTGGGGGTGGGCGACAGCGCGGGCGAGGTGCAGGACCTGCTGGTGAGGCTGCTGCAGGCGGCGCTCTACGACCCCGGGCTGCCACCGTACTGCCAGGTGAGACCCCCCAGACCCTTCCCCAGACCCCTGGCCTCTTTCCCTGCCACATCAGGGGTGTTGGTGCCCCCGAGGCCCCGGCTGCTGCAGGCTTAGGAGAGGGGAGCCCAGATTTGGGGGGCACTGCTCTTGCTGCAGCATCCTGCGCCTGGCCAGATCCTGGTCCCTGGCAGCCCTTGGGGGGTGTCCATCCTGCCCCCAGGCTTGTTCTTGCTCATGTTCCTGGCCCTGGTTTTCCCATCCATGGGATGCTGGCGTCCTCCCCCTGCTTGGTTTTTTCCCCTCCTGGCAACCCCCCCCCGCCATGGTACAAGAGGGGTCTCCCCAATGTCCTCTCTGCTCTGCCCAGTCCCTGAAGATCCTGGGGGAAAAGGTGTCGGAGATCAGCCTGAACCGTGACACCGTCTCCGAGATCCTGCGCTGCTTCCTGATGGCGTACGGGGCGGGCGAGGACCTGTGCGAGGGGCTGAGGACCAAGCCCTTCCAGGCCCTGCCCCCGGAGAAAAAAGCCACCATCCTGGCCTTCCTGGTGAACGAGCTCAACAGCAGCGCCCTCATCATCAAGTGAGTGTGGGTTGGGGGGCAATCCCTTCCTCTGATCCCAGCCTGTGGGCTCGGTGTGGGCTCTTCTTCTCCCCGGAGAGCCCCCCACCGCAGCCAGCCCCCCCCTCTTCCTGCAGCGAGATCGACAAGACCCTGGAGAACATGTCCAACTACAGGAAAAACAAGTGGATCATCGAGGGCCGGCTGCGCAGGTGGGTGGGGGCTGCCCCCCCCTGCATAAGGCTGGGGTCCCACTTGTGGCCTCCACACCTTCCCCGGGGGGGGGGGGGTCTCAGGGTGACTTTTCCTGGTGCTGCGGTGTAACCGCGTGCCTTGGCAAGCCCACGAGCAGGGTGTGTGTGGGGCAGGCAGTGGGGCAGGCAGTGGGGCAGGCAGTGGACGCCTCTGCTGTGTCTGGGCAGGTTGAAGGTTGCCCTGGCCAAGAAGACGGGTCGTCCGGAGTCGGAGATCACGGGGCTGGAGGACGGACGGCGCCGACGCAGCTCCCGCCTGACGGAGGAGACGGGCCTGGAGATGGAGGAAGAGGAGGAGAGCCGCGGGCGGAAATCCCGCAGGGAGGAGGAGGTGGGGTTGGCCGTGGGGTCTGCAGCTCATGGGGAGGGGGACAGAGGTGGGGACACCACCCTTGGGGGGTCTCTTTGCCACCTGTGCTTCCCTGATGGGTCCCCTCCCCTCTCCAGGCCGACACGTCTGCGTCCAGCGTCCCCGAGCTGGAGAGGCAGATCGAGAAGCTGGCCAAGGTGAGTGGGTGGTGGGGGTCTGGGGGTTTGATTCCCCCCCCAACCCCAGGGAGACCCCTCACCACCCCACGCTCTCCCCACAGAGGCAGATGTTCTTCCGCAAGAAGCTGCTCCATTCCTCACAGACGCTGCGAGCGGCTTCTCTGGGCCAGGACCGGTACCGGCGGCGGTACTGGGTCCTGCCCCACCTGGGGGGCATCTTCGTGGAGGGCGCAGAGGGTGAGCGGGGAAGGGGCTCCCCGGGAGAGGACCCCCCCAGCCAGGAGAGGGACCCCCCCAGCCAGGGGAGGACCCCCCAGCCAGGAGAGGACCCCCCAGCCAAGAGAGGAGCCTGCGTCTCATCTCCTCCTCCTCCTCCTCCCACCCTTGCAGCAGCCGAGCCGGTGCCCCAGGAGCCCCCAGAGGAGAAGGCGTCCCCCCACGTCTCCCCGGTGAAGGAGGAACCGGTGGAGGTGCCCATTCCCAACCGGACAAACTGCTCGGCCTCACGCTCCCGTGGCCGGCCCCGGAAGAGCAAAGAGGAGCTGTCGCAGCACTGTGGGCCCAGACCCCCCCCCCCTGTCAAC